ATTTTGTGGGTTTTTTTAAATTGATGTATTAACCTTAATTTCTGTGGGAAACTGCCACATTATGCTATTGATAGGAGTATAGAAGTTGGTCCCAATTACTACTTTTTATTTAGTGAATCATCCTTTGTTATGATCATATTTGCTTGTTGTTATGTAGATTTGCAGAACACTAAAGCCTGAGTTGTTCACCCACAATGGAGGACTCTATCCTCCACTAATAAAAGTTGAAATGATTATATTAATTATAGTAAAAGTTGATATGCTTTTATTTCATGGGAGTAAATTAAATAATTATTTGCTGTGGCAGTTAACTTTCTCCACTCATCCAAACAATCTATGTCTTTTTTTTTTTTTAAGATTTTATTTATTTATTTGACAGAGAGAGAGAGAGAGAGAGACAGTGAGAGAGGGAACACAAGCAGGGAGAGAGGGGGAGGGAGAAGCAGGCTTCCCACTGAGCAGGGAGCTGGATGAGGGGCTCCATCCCAGGACCCTAGGGTTATGACCTGAGCCGAAGGCAGACGCTTAAAGACCAAGCCACCCAGGCACCACAATCTATGTCATTTTTAATTGACTTAGGTTTGCCTCTGGTATCATGTCACATTATTCATAAAAATTCCACCATGATCTCCTGTGTTCAGTACCTTAGCAAACTTAAAACTGTCTGACCATTACTGTGCTGTCCTATTATCCCTGTATTTCTGATAAGATTTTTGAGGCCAAGAGAAAATATTTCAGTTTCCCTCATGTTGCTTATCTCTTGGATAGGAAGAATCATGAACTAGTCAAAATAACACACAAGAAATTCTGAAATATTTTCTTCTATACTAAGTAGTTATAGATGACTTTCATATTATTCCAATTTCCTATTATTACCAAATTGTGCATACGGTCTTAGGAAGTTGACTTACTACCTTTTAAGAATTCCTAGCTCTCTTCGAGAAGATTCATTCTAATTTGCAAAACCACTGGTGTAAAGAGCACAGGCTTCATGGTCAGAGATCATGGTTTAGTGCTGGTTCTGGAGCTTATGAGCTTGAGCAAATCCCTTAACTCTCAGGAAAATCAGTGCTCTGATTTAAAGTATGTTGCTGAGGAATTGAAACCATTGGCATATATAAAGTATTTGGTACTCAGTAAATGCTGTTCTGCATCATTTACATATGTCACCTCATATATCGCTGTAGCAAACTTGTAAGGTGGGTGTTATTAATCTAGTCTAAATATGGAAAGTGAAAGTGACAAAGCCAGATACCAGTTGTTTGTTAGGTATATGGTTTGCAATTATTTTCACTCACTCTGTAGCTTATCTTTTAGATCCCTTAACAGAGTGTTTTTACTTAATTTTTTTCAAATTTTTATTTAAATTCTAGCTAGTTAACATACAGTGCAATATTGGTTTCAGGAGAACTCAGTGGTTCATCACCTACATACAACACCCAGTGCTCATCACAAGTGCCCTCCTTACTAAGGGTATTAACAGGGTGTTTTGCAAAGCAAAAGTTTTAATCTGATGATGCCCGATTTATTAATTTTTCCTTTTATGGATCATACTTTTGGTCAACTCTAAGAACTCTTTGCCTAGCTCTAGCACCTACAGATGTTTTCTCGTTTTTTTTTCTAATAATTATATGTTTAAATTTAAGCCTTTGATCCACTTCGAGTTAATTTTTCCAAAAGATGGAAGAGATAGGCCAAAGGTTTTTATTTTGTTTCGTTTTTGGCCTGTCCGTATCCAATTGCTCCAGCACCATTTGTTGAAAAGGCTAGCTTTCCTCCCTTGATTATGGTCTCAAAAGCCTTGAAATCAAGTAAACTGATCCTCCCACTTTATTCTTCTTTTTCAAAATTGTTTTAGGTAGGGGCATCTGGGTGGCTCTGTTGGTTAAGCTTCTGACTCGGGCTCAGGTCATGATCTCAGGATCCTGGGATCCTACCCTGCACTGGGCTCCCTGCTCAGCGGGGAGTCTGCTTCTCCCTCTCCCTTGGCCCCTCCCTCCCCTCGTGTTCATGCTCTGTCTCTCATAAATGAATAAAACCCTTAAAAAAATGTTTTAGCTATTCTTTATCTGTTGTGAGCAAGAGTTCTTGATTTTGCAGAAAAAAATCAGAAGAAAAATAATATTCTCTTTGGAGCATGATTGTGAGATTATGGGAGAAGACCCATATGAAATATTTAATATAGTACCTGGCATAAGATGTAAACACTTAGCTTCCTTCCTGTTGATTCTAAACCAAATTGTTCACACACACACACACTCATACACACCTCTTCCCTAGTGGTACTTTATATTATGTTTTCAGTTTTATGTAAATGTGTTATATATGCAACCAGGTAATGCAACCAGGTAAGAAATACGCCTTTGGTAAAAAAAAATGTGTGTGTGTGTGTGTGTGTGTGTGTGAAAGAAATAGCTGAAAAGGACCAGCTGTCACTCTCATCCACATCTGTACATAGAAAATATCCTGTTGCCATTTCCTTCCCATATCCTCAACTTTAGATATAAGAAGCTCTGGTAAGGACTACAATCAACTGGGCACCTTTCATTTCATCCAAACATCAACAGAACTGTTCTGATGCCCAACCACAATAGGGAAAAAAATAAAAACAAAAAACAAACAAAAAAACACCTGTGATTATAAACATCACGCAACTCATCAGAACTTGTTTCTGAATAAGATATTGGCTATCACTGACAAAATGCCAGCGTCCCTTTCCACGTTAGGCCATTGGCCTCCTTGCTGTTCCTCCCACTTTCCAGATATACTGTGGCTTTTGCCCTGGCTCAGATTTGTCCTCTAGATATCCACATGGCTCTATCCTTCATCTCCTTCAGATGTTACTCAAATGTCTTCCTCTCAGAGGGGCCTTCTCTGCCCTGTCTATTGAAATCACTCCACTCCACCCCATACGATTTGGTCTTCTTCCCGGCTGTATTTTCCTATTGTCTCCTATCAATGCCTAACATAGAACATCTATATCTGATCATTTGATATATTTGATTAGATGATTTTATCCACTAGCACGTAAGCTCCATGAAGGCCATTTTCACTGCTGTTTCCTTTGTACCTAGAACGGTGCTGGCATATAGCAGTCACTTGATAAATATTTACTGAATGAATGAAGTAGAGAGGGTTCCAAAATCATTGGTGAATGTCATAGCTTTTGACTATAATATTTAAATCTAAGACCAGCGGCAACTTTAATAGGGATATTAAATCTTTATTATCTATTTTCTTCTAGGAGAATGTCAATCAAATAAACACATATAAATTTGTATTTCACAAATTCTCCATTTCCTTCCCCAAATCACCTCCCTCTCCAACGCCCACCCCAGAAAAAGATGAGAGATTAAAGGGAAAATGCATCTCTTGTCCATAGGCCTTCTCTTATTTGACTGTTCAGGCCCCAAATTTTGGAGACTTTCTCCTACCTACACTCAATTGAGAATCTGTAACCACTCCCACTATCTTTACTGCTATTGTCCCTTCTGGCCACAATCAGCTCTTGCCTGAAATATGGCAAATTGTCTTCTAACTGGTTTCCCTGCTTCCAAATTTAACCCTCCACAATCGTTATTTCCCAATCAGCCATAGTGTTCTGGACTGAACTGTGTCCTAAAATTCGTATGTTTAAGCTGTAACCCCCAGTGTGACTACATTTGGAGACAGAGCCTTTACGGAAGTCATTAAGGTGTTGTAAGGTTAGGACACTAATCTGATAGGCCTTTCTCCTTATAATAAGGGATATGAGTGAGCTCAGTCTCTCTCTGCCATGTGAGGACACTGCAAAAAGGCAGCCATCTTCAAGCCAGGAAGAGAGCTCTCTCCAGAGCCCCACCATGCTGGCACCCTGATCTCAAGCTAGCAACTTCTCACAGAAGATATTATTGTAGTGAATTTGAAGTATGTATTTCTAAATGTCAGTTTAATAGACTTGCAACTTCATAGTTAAATTGCATCATCACTTCTAACATAAAGATATACGTAAGTTATAACTTCCTTTTAGAAATAAAATGTTTGGTGTTCAATACCCTCAAGAATTATTGCAATAAATCCAAATAAGTATTTTTCCAGTTCCTAGCCATAATAGGAGAATGAGTCAATAAGTTAGATTACCTGAAATGAGCTTAGATATTCAGTGATTTAAGTGACTTTTTCAGCAGGTATTTAGTGATGACCCACTATGCATAGGTATTGATTGATTGCTGAGGTTTAAAAATAAAACAGTTCCTTTCTTCAGGTTGCTGAAAGATTAACAGGAATTGACTCACGTTGAAATAATAATGAATTTTATTTTTTTTGAAATAATGAGTTTTAATACAAAGCAAAATTTAAACACAATTCTTTAGTGGTTTTTATTGTTATTTCCTTTTTTTCCAGTTAAATCCAACTAAACGTATATTCACCGTTTTGTAAATTAGGGGAATTAAAACAAATTATATATCAATTAACATAGAGAAACATGGAATTATTTTTCCACAGATTGGCAGTGGTCATCTATGAGTTATGCTTGCGTCATTTTAAAAGCAAGCACGTATTAGCAATAAAACATTTAAAACAGTATTTTCCTTAAATTTCGACTCTAAGAACTAAGACAAGAGGTGGGATGTGCCACACACTAATGAAACCAATAAATGCTAGAGGTTCCGGTGCAGAAAGTTCCTAAGTGATTTTTGGCAAGAAGTTTGTGCCGCGGTCGGCAGAGCAACCTAGCTGGTGGCAACCCCTACTTACCAGTTTCACTCCTCCCAACCCGGCCCGCGGAAAACCTAGAGGCAGCAAGTTCTGCCTCCGGTCTACGAACGCTCCGGGGCGCCGGAAACTAAGTTGGAGAAGTGATCTAATTGGCTAAGACATGAATGACGCAACGTATCTCAGGCCCACTGAGAATCCGCCTCCCCAAGACTGGCTGAAATTCCGCTTTCGATTGGTTCTTACGTCAAGAGTGCAGCGACATTTCCTGAAATTAACCTCTGGGTCCGAAACCTTGAGCAAAGATGGCGGCGGCCAGGTGCTGCAGGCTAGCGCTCCGCGGACCGGGGCTGTCATTGCACACTGCGGCCGAGGCCGCCGTCACGGCTCCAGAAGTGACCGGCCCCGATGTCACGGCGGCCCCCGTCGCGCGCTACCCGCCGATTGTGGGCTCCCTGACTGCCAAGAGCAAGGCGGCACGGCAGCGGCGAGTGGAGCGGTGGCAGGCGACGGTGCACGAGGCCTTGTCGGTGGACGAGAAGCTGCGAATCCTCACCAAGATGCAGTTCATGAAGTACGTGGTTTATCCGCAGACTTTCGCCCTGAACGCTGACCGCTGGTATCAAAGTTTCACCAAGACCGCGTTTCTGTCGGGCCTGCCGCCGCCAGCCGAGCCCGCGGAGCCCGCGCCCGCCCTGGACCTAGCGGCCCTGCGCGCCGCCACGTGTGACTGCCTCCTGCAGGAGCACTTCTACCTGCGGCGCAAGCGGCGCCCTCCCCTCTACCGGGACCGCGAGGCTATCGCCTCGCCGTTCCTGGATCAGCTGGCGGCCACCCTCATGGGCCTGCTCAGCGCACACAACCCCGCCCTGGCCACCGCCACCCTCGGTGAGCCTTGGGGGCTGCCGGGCCGGGCGGGGGCGGAGGGGACTGTTCCTTTCTTTCTTTCTGCATTGTTAATTATCTTTCTAGTCCCTTCGCGCCTCGCTGGGCGCCGCCAGTTTTAATAGCAGTCACAGCGCTAAGAATCTGGAGACTGGGTTCCCTTTCGGCCCTGTGCTGCCACCTACTAGCTGTACAACCTTCCACGATTCCAGTCTTTGGTTCTGCTTTGTGAAGGTCCAGCCAAATGGAATGGAAGAGCAGTGTTGGTTAAGAGAAGGGGCAGACTTGAAGTTGGCTTTTGGCCCTTCCACCAAAAAGTTACATGACTGTATGTCAGTTCATTAACCTCTTTTGGGTTAAAAGTAGTTTTTCTCATTCTCAAGATGAGAATTACGGTAATAGTACTTTCTCGTAGAAGTGTGAACATTAAAGGTGATACTGATTAAAATTAACATTTACTCAGTACTTAACTATGTACCAAGCCCTGTTGTAAATTTTTATATGTGCCAACCAGTAATCCTCACGATGACCGTTTATAGTAGGTAGCATTGTTTTATGAATGGGAAAACCACCCTGAGGCACAGAAAGGTAAAATGAACCTAGTCAGAGAGCCTGTAGCTGGTAGATTTGAGTTCAGGATTCAAACCTAGCCATTTTGGGTTCCCAGGAAACAATCAGTGATTAAACTTCTTTTAACTGCTCAGTGCAGACATGAAAAATTAACGGACAGTTTTAAAAATCAGTGTTTTTGAGGTATTCATTACTTTATATCTACTGTCTGGTAGGTGTCATAATAAATATTTATTGACTTAATGTTACAACTGTAGATGTGTGTTCACCTGAGTCCTGTAGTGTGCATGTTACTTCTGTCTCAGTTGGGAAGGAAGTGGTCTTGAGAGAAGCCTTGGGGATTTTGACTACTGACTGTTGGCCTAGGAGATCTTAACTTTGTCAAGACCCAGATCCCTCTTCTATAAAATGGAGGTGATGACAACTGTATGCATACCTTTGAGAGTTATTGTGAGGATTGATTTAGTAATTCTGACTCCTATAAAAACTTTTTATTTCTGGTGAGTGATACTCCTTTTGGTCTTATTTTCTTTATGTTTATTCTTAACTGACAAACCTCTTCCATTACAGTGTTTAGTGTATGATGGATGGCACAAGTAGACAATCAATGTTTGAGCATTATATTTAAGTCACAGTCATTTAAGTTAAATAATCATATAACCCAGACTCTATCTTACAACAAAGAGTAATTTTTGATAATTTTTAATTTCCACAGTTACTAAGTTCTGTATTGCTGGTATTCTAATAATAACCAAATTGATATAAATGATTAAATAAAATTTTGAATATCTTTTGATAGATTGTAAACGCCCAGTTCACTTTTACTGGTTGCGAGGTGAAGAAATTATTCCTCGTGGTCATCGGAAAGGTCGAGTTGATGCTTTGCGATACCAAATAAATGATAAACCACACAACCAGATTCGAATATCCAAACAACTCCCAGAGGTAAGGATTTATTGCATGTATATCTACTGATATCTGATGAGGAAATGTCATAGGCAGCTTAGGTAATGGGCTTAGTAGAATAAAAAGTTTTGGATGGATCCCTTTTGAGTTTCTTTCACATACTTCTCATCCGAAATTCTTTTTCAGCTTTTTAACCTGTTATGGTGTGTATAGTGCTCAAAGGTCAAATAATAATTTTTAAGCAAGGTTAAGGCGTCAGTTTTCAGGATCATACAAATCTTTTCTTTTTCTTACTGCACTTTTTCTTACTATAAAAAACTTTGGGCTGCCTGGGTGGCTCAGTCAGTAAGGGTCCTGGGATCAAGTCCCCATCGGTCTCCCTGTTCAGCGGGGGAGTCTGCTTCTCCCTCTTCCTTTGCCTCCTCCCCCTGCCCCCCGCTTGTGTGTGTGCGCATTCTCTCTCTCTCAAATAAATAAAATCTTTAAAAATACATATAAACAATTGATAATAGTTTATGATTGTAATTTACGATAGACTACACTACCTAATCATAAATCAAGGCATTTTTATAATTACAAGCTGGTCATTTTTTTTTAATTTGTAGTTCTTTTAGAGAAAATAAGTGTATTTTGAGTGTTGTCTGTGTGTCTGTATACACACACGCACACATTTTTTCTGTAAAAGTCTAGACAGTAAATATCTTAGGCTTTGGGGGGCCACAAGTCTGTGTTGCAACTATTCATCTTAGTTCTTAAATATTGTAAAAGCTGTTATGTACCATATGTAAATGAATGTGCCTGACTGTGTTGCAGTAAAACTTTATTTGTACAATCAGGTGGCTGGCTGGATTTGGCCCATCAGTAGATGGTGGTGTTACCAAATCATTTTGTAAAAAACATCTAATTTTAAGATTTTTAAGTCTATTAAGGATGTGAGTTGGGACACCTGGGTGGCTCAGTCGGTTAAACGTCCGCCTTCGGCTCAGGTCATGATCCCAGGGTCCTGGGATCGAGTCCCGCATCAGGCTCCTTGTTCAGCAGGGAGCCTGCTTCCCCCTCTCCCTGCCGCTCTCCCTACTTGTGCACTCTCTCTCTCTGACAAATAAATAAAATCTTAAAAAAAAAAAAAAAATGTGAGTAAAATTTATACATTAGTACTAGCGTTGCTGTGAATTCATTTATGACTTTTCTTTTTCTTGAAGTTTGTGCCGCTGGATTATTCTATACCTGTTGAAATCCCTGTTATAACTTGTAAGCCAGACAAACTTCCCTTATTCAAACGACAGTATGAAAATACCATATTTATTGGTAAGTTTTTCTTTTGAAGTATTTCGCTATCAATGTGTCCTAAGTATCCTGTGCAGATTTACATAATTAATTCTTGATGACCAAGAAGTTCAGATAGTTTACAAGCAATATAATTCATAATCTCAGGTTGTTGTAATATGCATGAAAATTGGGGGGAAAATATTCTTTCAGCTCACCATTTAAAATTTTACTTGTTTCTACTGAACTAGCAGCATTTAACTTTAAAAAATAGTTTTACGTATTTTTATTGATTTATTATGTAGAAAAAGTAATTTGTCCTTTTTCAGGAGTAAACCAGTATAGAGCCAGACTTGAGGCAGTGATTGGCTTTTTTATAAAAGTCTTCTGTTTGTGCCACACACTGTGATAACCATTAGGAATATAAAAATAAGGCCTGATGTTTGCCCTTGTGTAGCTTATACTTTTGCTATCTTTTTGTCTATTAATTCCAAGTTGAATTAATAGACAAAAGTTGAAGATTTTAAGAAACCAGCTTTATGCTAGTCCTCCAGACGTATTTTATCAGCCCCTTCAGTGTCACTGTGGTCTTAGAGTGTGAACTGTGGAACTTTTGGTTGAAAAGACTTTACTACTAAAGTCAAGAATATCAACACATCATGAAATATTGGCTCTCATTTTCCTTACTTGGAAATACAGTATAAAAATCATTTTTTTAAAAAAAATTAGGAGCAAGGTATGTAATTATTACATTAAAATGATAAAGGAGACTTTGTAATGAAATGTTGGTATCATGTGGAGAGTAAGACAAAGAAAATAACATAGCTCCCAATGATGAATAAAAGGTTTGAAAAAACTAAATAGGGAATTTTAAATAAACTTTATATACATTCTTTTGACTTATCCTGTGTCATCATAGTGGGCTTGATGATAGCTAGCAGATTGTACTTTCATGTGAAGTTTAACTTCATTATAATCAATGAAATAAATAAATCAACCTTCCCACTTGTATATTTCGAATACTGGTCACAGGATGTATGGAGGAGAAAGATGGGTTTGAAGCAGAGACTAAGGATGTGTGCTCCAGATGTTTACATGTACATTTCATCTGAAATGTTTTTATTTTGCTCTTCAGGCTCAAAGACAGCAGACCCATACTGTTATGGTCACACACAGTTTCATCTGTTACCTGACAAATTAAAAAGGGAAAGGCTTTTGAAACAGAACTGTGCCGATCAGATAGAAGTTGTTTTTAGAGCTAATGCTATTGCAAGCCTCTTTGCTTGGACTGGAGCACAAGCTCTGTATCAAGGTAAAACTAATTTTATAGCATTGTTCTTGGAAGATATCTGTGACATTTTAAGAGTTTAATTGTTTCTTTGGGTTAAGTGTTGTAGGTTGAATCTTAACATTTTGAAAACTTGCAGTGACACAAAACACGTTTTAAAATTCATAATTAAATATTTTACATTTGCAATTGGCAGGTGGTGTGTAGATAGTTACTTTGATCTTTGACCACTTTTGTGTGAATGAATTATTTTCTGGTGTTCTCAAGCAGGTGAAAGACTGTAGCCAACTAAGTCAGCTCTGTAGATGATAGCAGCTTTCTGAAGCTGGAAAAGGAAATGCTTTGGTGGATTAAATTTTCGATTAAATCACAACTATTCTGTATAATATCTTTGAAGGCTATATCCAGGATGTGGATTAAGAGATTGTTTACTCATCCAGTAAATAATGAATGCTTTTTAGGAACCAGGTGGTGTTGGCCTTGGAGATGCAGTGTTGAATGAGACAGGCAGATCCTACTGTCTTGGAGCTTTTAGTGAGGAGAGTAAAAGATTATAAACATGTAGTATTTTTAGCTAGTGGTAATAGTATGGAGGAAATATACTATATAAGGGATAGAATGGCTTACTGGGTGCAGGTATAAGTGAGATACGGGGCCGAATCCATTTAAATGGAGTAATTAAGGGGGTGGTCTCTAAAAAATGACATTTGAACGAAGACCTGACTGTTGAGGAGCTGCCTGAGCACAAACTTGAGGGGAAGACTCTTCTAGGCAAAAGAAATACAAGTAAGTCTCTGAGGTAGGAACAGACTTGAGGTGTTCAAAGAACAATGAAGAAAGGGGAGGGGGAGAATGATGGAGGATGAGATAAAGGAAGCCAGCCAGACGCCAGATCTCAGAGCTCATTGTGAGGCATTGGGATTTTATTACAAAACCTGAAGTAATAAACTGTAATATGTAACCAGATTGATCCTATATGAGTTCCCAGGAGGAATTTAATACAGATTTAATTATTTCTAGGCTCACCTGTTTTCTTCATACATATATATAACTTAGTCTTTTATTCACAATTTTTGACTTAAATGGAAAGAATGGGAATAAGATTAGACAGAAGCAGAAACAGGAATCTTTCTCGAAGGCATTAGAATGGCACTGTTTGTGCATTAAAAGTAAAGTGCTTCTTTTTTCCTAAATTTAATTACAAATGCTAACAATATTATTCATTGGCTGTCTTCATGAAGGCTGATAGAAAATATGTATGAGGAAAGAACATTACTGCTTGGCCCTGGGTTAAAGCCAGTCAGTCTAGAACAAGAAGCCAGAAAATATGAGTAGTAAAGGTATTAAAGGCATCCTGGAACCTATGACACAAGATAACACAAGGTGAAATAACAGCAGCTCATAAAACCAATTTCAAAATATGTAAGGGAAGAATAGAATTTGTCTAAGGACATGATTGAAGTCCTTAGAAAGTCTCCGTTTTTTTCTGAAGGAATTGTTTTGTAGATTTTGGTGAAGTAAATGGCCGTAATGGTTATTGGGTGCTAGATGCTACTGGTAATGGGAAAATGAACGAAGTTAGTACTAGATGTAGGGGAGATCTGTATCGATAGAGCTTGCTGCTTTTTTTAGATGAAGTGAGTTAAGATTGAAAGCTGTTGAAGAGTGAAGTTGTTGAGAATGTGTCATGAGTTTGGGGATATCAGAAAGGAGGAAATAATTTTTGATGCAGAAATAGAATACAGGATTAGAATGGAGAAGATTAGGAAACTATGAGATCTTCAGGAATTTGGTAGGTAAAATAATTTAGGTTTTAGGGGATATTTGATACCCTCTAATGTGTAAATGTTTTATTTTGGTAAAATATATTCTATGTGTAAATTTCAGTATAACTTTTTTCTGTAGGATTTTGGAGTGAAGCAGATGTTACTCGGCCTTTTGTCTCTCAGGGCGTGATCACAGATGGAAAATACTTTTCCTTTTTCTGCTACCAGTTAAATACTTTGGCACTGACTGCACAAGCTGATCAAAATAACCCTCGTAAAAATATATGTTGGGGGACACAAAGTAAGCCTCTTTATGAAACAATTGAAGATAATAATGTGAAAGGTTTTAATGATGATGTCCTGCTCCAGGTAGTTCACTTTCTACTGAACAGACCAAAAGAAGACAAATGACAGCTGTTGGAAAACTAAGAAGAAATAATTGATTCAGGACTTCGGGAATACTTCAGTTTCACTGAAGGAAAAATAAAGGGAATTTCAATGATGAGACTTGTCAAATGCCTTATTTTGAGACAAATATTTCTTATGTTAACCTGTGATTAGACCTCTCATTTTGCTCAGAGTACACACTGAAAGATTTAATTTTAGATAGAATATGTTGTTCTAAGGTGATTTTATTCATATATGACTAATTGATGAGACCAATTGAGCTATCTGCAATACCTGGTATTAGTTGCATGTGATTTTGAAAGTAATGGAAGGACAGTAATTCAAAAGTTTGAAAATAGGTAGATGTGTTATATTTTTATTTTTTGTTTTTATTTTTTTCATTGATAAGTAGTACAGAGTTTCAGAGTCTTACTCAAACTGCTTTAAAATTGGAACAATATTTTGCAAGTATAGGAAACTGAGGCCCAGAGGAGTTAAGTGACTTTTTCACAATTTCACAGTTGATTAATAATATAACTGATGAATTATATGCAACTTAGGTTCTTTGCACTCAGAAGTAACGTTAACAAGTGCAGGCCTGTTGTTTAATGCCCACACCTAACACATGGCACAGGGTACTCGATAAACATTTGACCCAGGGGCACTGGGCTGGCTCAGTCAGTAGAGCATGTGACTCCAGATCTCAGGATTGTAAGTTCAAGCCCATGTTGGGTGTAGAGATTACTTAAAAATAAAATATTTATATTAAAAAAATGAAGAAGAAATAATGTTAACGTATTCTGTTCGTGTTTTGCTCTGTTCCAAAGATGAGGAAACTAGGTTTGCTGTGTTTCAAAATCAGTTGTCAGTAAAATTGTTAATCTTGTTGAGAATTAAGATTTCATTTAAAACATTTTTAGTGAGAAAAAGGAATTACCTTTGTATAATCATGCTTACTGTTTTTATGTTATAGAACCTCCTGTTGTGAATTTTTAAAACACCCAATTAGGTAATGTCATATGACAAATTCCCTCCCTTCCTCCTTTTCTTCTTTCCTTCCTTCCCTCCATCTCTCCCTCCCTCCTTCCCTCCCTCTCTTGCTCTCTCTCTTTCAAGGCAGAGGCCACAGTTACATTGATCGATTCCTCAGCCAGAAGCCTAGGGATTATTGCCATAGATGTTTGCTAAACTGAAGGAATAGCATCTGAAAGGTGTTAACTCAGTTCAGCCAAAGCCTTGCTTTGCAAGGCTTTGTGCTGTGTTCCATCTTTAGCACACTATTTTCAGTTTACCCAGAAAGCCATGTCATTTCACACCACCATTTGTTTATTTAAGCAGTTTACAAAGCTTGGAATACTGTTCTCTACCTTTGGTCCTCTCTGTTCAATCCATGTATTGCGTCCACATTCATCCTTGATGGAAAAATGCAGATGTATAGAGAACAACCTTGCCAAGCTCCAAGTACAGTGATACTTCTCTTAATGTTAGCTTTCACTTTCTAGCTCTTTGCGTCTTGGGCAATTTGAGTTGCCATCCTTTTTTTCTGCCCCCCATAAAACAAAATTACCTTACAGAGTTTAAGGATGAAATGAACTAGTGCATGCAAAAGTGCTTTTAAAATTCTATGTAATTGAAATACTTAGGATTCAGTTGAAATGCCATTGCTTTCCCTAAGCTGATTATATTTAATTCATGTTTAATTGTTCCATCCTTTAAATACTTAAACCTTTGGTAGCACCTGTTTCATTCTCTCGTAATAATTTTTCTCATCCCAAATGGAGAACACATGCGACATACATACATACCGTAATATATATCAGGACCTCACATAACACTTACTATATTCTAGAGAGTGACCTAGATATTTTATGTATATTAGCTTATTTAATCATCACAAACATTCCATGAGCTAGGCACTATTTTGCAGATGAGTTAACGGCACAGAAAACCCAGTAACTTACTGAAGAATATATACTACAATGTGGCAGGTTTGAAATTTCAGCCCTGGTGATCTGACTCCAGAACCTACTTAAAACCACTCTGGTGTATATTCTTTAATAATACACTGTAGATGTCAGTGCTACAGAAGTACAACGGTGACATAAATTTAGATAAAGGATGGGTTAATTCTGACTAGTATGAATCCTGGAAATGTGTTTTGGAGCAAGTGGTATTTGAATTGGCTCTTGAGAGAGGGTATTTTCCAACAAGAGGACAATAAGTGGATGGAGCTGTGAGTGAAGGTGGGAAGCTGCAGGACGGACTTGGGAAATAGGCAGTAACTTCATTTATGCAAGTTAGATGTGGCCTAAAAGCAGTTGGGGAGAAAAATTATTTACCAAGAAATAAAAATCTAACTAGTCTCAGACTTTTGCATAACACTGAGCATTAAGAAACAGTGCAGCAGTGTCATAGACTTCCAGAGGAAAAGCTACAACACAAAGTCTAGGACCAGCCAAGATAATAGACAATGTAGAACGATTGAAAAAAAGTCAGGATGCCCAAGTCACTTACAAAATAAGTTTATGAAAGTGTACTATAGTTGATTAGCAAATGATAGGAGGAACTAATGAATGGAGAATCAAAATGAATATAAGTACACAAAGTCTTATCAGGCAAAATTAAGCATAAAGCAGAGCTAGCAATATTAATTTCAGGCAATTCAAGGCAAAAACAAAACTCCAGTGTTAAAAGGTCATTAATATGTTGTAAATTGTTATCAGTGTATGAAATGTTAATGTAAATCTTAAGTTGGAGTAACTAAAAATAAGGAATAACTAGTAAAATTGACTTAAAGTTTGGTACTTTTTTTTTTTAAGATTTTATTTATTTGTCAGAGAGCACAAGCAGGGGGAGCTCCAGGCAGAGGGAGAAGCAGGCTCCCCACTGAGCAAAGAGCCCAATGCGGGACTTGATCCCAGGACTGTGGGATCATGACCTGAGCCAAAGGCAGACGCTCAACCAACTGAGCCACCCAGGCATCCCTAAAGTTTGGTACTTTAGAAAAAAGTTTTAAAAATGGGATAGAACTTGTATACAAAATCACTGATTAGACTATAGAAAGTCTCAGGAAATTTTTTTTTTTAAAGATTTCATCTACTTATTTGTCAGAGAAGAGAGCACACAAGCAGAGAAAGAAGCAGGCTCCCCACTGAGCCTGGAGCCCAGTGCAGGACATGAGCCCAGGACTCTGGGATCATGACCTGAGCTGAAGGGGGACGCTTAACCTACTGAGCTGCCCAGGCGCCACTTCAGGAAATTCTTAAAAGCCAGAATTATATAGGTCATAAACTCTTATCTATACCACAGCATATCTAAAAGTTACAGTTTTATATCAGAAACGTAATCATTTGAAAAAAGTGTCTTTCTAAATAACTAGAGTTGCTATTAGTTTGCCTGGACAGAATATTCAATATATAATCAAACATTCCCAGAGCTATATCACAATCTAAAAATGAAAGCTATCAAGGGGCTCCTGGGTGGCTCAGTTATAAGCATCTGCCTTTGGCTTAGGTCATGATCCCAAGGTCCTGGGATTGAGCCCCGCATCGGGCTCCCTGCTCTTCAGCAAGCCTGCTTCTTCCTCTCCCTCTCCCCCTGCTTGTGTTCCTGCTCTCGCTATCTCTCTCTCTCAAATAAATAAATAAAATCTTTTTAAAAAAATTTAAAAAATAAAAATGAAAGCTATCTTTCTTGCCTTTTCATTTTTAATCAGATATATTTTTATATAATCTAGACATTTGTACATTTCCTATGCTTGACAAATTTATTTCTTTTACCAAGAAAGCATTTTATTAATGTAAAAATAAAATTTTTAAATTTTAAAATGTAATAAATTGCATATAAATTTAGTAGGTTATAGCCAAAGTTATTTTGAACACGTTTACTCTTAGGGATACGTGAAGATGCTGCAGGATATAACCACTAAATAAATATAATCCATCTTCCCTCTGCAGCTGTCAACCAACCTGCTTTAAAACCCTGAGAAAAATGATATTTCTATTAAAACACATGGAGTAGAATGTAAAAAGCCACATATTTTTTAAGAGATAAAACATGAAGTTCAAAGAAATTTTCACTAATCTCAGAACTCTGGTGCGGGGAATGGCCAGCCATCCCTGTACCGACGGATGAAAGATGACTCCAAATCTTGCCGTGAGAGAGAGGAGAAGGCAAGGGGGTCAACGCTCAGAGGCGAAGACCCTCTGCTCTTCTTTGCTCTCACCTTTATTTGTGCTTCAGGATAATCCCAAATCTTTATTACTCTGTTTCTCAAGCTAGTGATGTGTGGCGAGGAGTCTTGCAGAAAATAGAAGACTGATTACGGGAAAGATAAAATGGGCTGATCAGCCTGTCCCAGGAGTTCTGCTAAACATAGCTTTAGGGGACAATGCATACATCTCTTAGGTCACAAGGCGGCTGTTTGGGCTAAGCTAGCTTCACGGAAGGTAACTCCCCGCAGCATTCCTAAGGCAGAGTGATTTGCTGGGCCCCAGCATTCCAAGGCCTAGGCCCTTCTCAGAAACCTTCCCTGCCCCCAGCAGCTTCCGTGTTACATTTTAGCAAGCCAGGTACTATGGATGATTTCATATTCTACATTAACCCCAACACTCTAGAAGAGCTTCAGATCTTTGGCTCTTTAGTCTTAGATTTGAGACCCATTAGCCATTTTACTTAATGGCAAATTTATAATGCTATATGTTTATATAAAATAAGAAAAATCAGCATTTGCCAGAGAGTTAAAAAAAATAAGGAAAATTGGAACAAAAATATAAATGTAGAAGATAATGACACGGAAAACAGAGTTGACAAATAGGTGCGGTAACTGGTTCTATATTCTAGCCTCTCCCCTGTCAGTAAAAGATAATATTCTGGCAAATCTAATCAAGAAGGAAAAGAAAACACTTAAAATTGGAAAAGGTGATGTAAAATACATGATGGAGACTCTGGATAAGAAAATACAAAAATAGAAAATTTGGACATTTTTCGCTGAGAAATGTAAATAAAATTAAATCAAGTAAAGATAGAAAACTTAAATTGTC